GATCTTGACACAAAAGTTCTGATTCATGAAACAGTAATCTGTAGTAAAAAAAAAAAAAAAAAAAAAAAAAACTACGGTACACGTAAAGGCGTACATGGTAAGGCGTACATGGTACAGTGTACGCTATTAGTGTACACTATTAGAGGGTCAGTCCGTTGGTTAGATAAACTAGACAATTTCGAGCGTAAAAAGCGTCTTGCTCGCCTCAACTTAACCACCATCATATATATTGATATTCATTATAATTGTCATTGAGGCGGTATGCTAGTATTATTAATCACATGGTTCCCACTCTCTCTCTCTCTCTCGCACTCACGCATGAACACACACATGCACGCATGCACACACATTGCCCGCACGCAGTTGCACATAACTTAAATATATATATATGGCTACGACAAGTCGTGTAAGTGACTAGGTTCATTGACAGCGTCACTACTTGGAGTGGATACCACATTGGTGCCAAAAGACTAATGGAAGCCGTCAATGAAAACCTGAACCAGATCAAATAAAGGAATACTCAGGGAACCACTTGACCATCATTTGATAGGGGACACCTTAGGAACAATTTTAGGTTGCACGATGAGTTTGTAGGTTCACACAGAGCACTTTTAATAGCAGATAACGTACAGAACCAAGAGAATGAGCAGCAACCTTGGTAATCAAAATCGGCATATTTGAACCACATAGCCAATATTTGTGTTGGTCATTACTCTCCGAATCAATGGCCTGCATGTCCTACAACAAAACTGAACCAAACTGGACAAGTTTTAACCGTTGCCTGGAATTTTATGCCAGATAAAACTCTAAAAACCTATCCTAAGGAATGCCTTGCCTCTTGAAAGCTCTGATAGCAGCAAGATGAGGTCCGGCGTAACAGCAACCTTTGCTATGACTAGACACTGACATGAGGGGCCTTTGTGGGGCTGTAACTCTTTTAAAGACGATAATTTGGAAATATGGAGATCCAAAATATTGCTTTCAATGGTTGTCGTAAGACTTAAAATAGGCAATGTATCTTTGTTTGCTTCACTGGCGAATTCAATTAATACACTGATGACACAATGACATCGAACAGATGATCAAAAGTTTTTAAAACACGATTTTATTCCTTATTTTTATATAGCAGTCAGCTATATATATATATATTCGCAGTTTACCATTTTACATAGGTAAAACTTTTGAACTGAAATGAAATGGGACAATGCAATTAACTGTTTATTGCCATTCCATATTTCTCTACACAGACGACCCCTGGCCTGACACAAATACTTAAAAGAAGTTAGATATCGCCCATCATTTAGGATACAAAAGTTAGAATCATTTTACATGTTTTCAAAATTTTCCAATTCTAAGACAATCATTGTGTTGGATATCATTTCTAATTTAACTGTGTTGCAATAAAATGAATATTGCACTCTTTAAAAGTAACAATTGTTATAATTTTGGGTGGTGCAGTACGTGTACGTAGAAATTTGGATAAAATGTCTTGGCCTCTCAACTTCCTCAGGGCTATGTGAAAACAGAGGTTGTAATGAATAGATGGCATGCTTGCAATCACCCATGTTAATAGTCATCGTGAGAATTACAAGAGAATTGCAACAGCTTTGAATGGCACATTCTCTAGCCATGCTCCAATGCCGTGGTGTGTCACTGCAGGAAGAAAGGAGGTACATAAGGTTATTAAATGCAGGCTTTGATAAACAAGAGACTGCCAACACATCTCAATTAAAAAACACCCCTTTGGAATCTTTTGGAATTCTATCGGACGTCCTATAGATATAAGATACACGTCTCATAGGACCTAATATTATTTTGGCCAATTTCCTACAGGTTTATAGTGAGGACTTGTTAGTCTGCTATTTAAAAACTGATTCACCATTTAACATCTTTCAGAATTGTTTTGGGATATTTAGTCATCATCATCATCATCATCATAATCATTCACCAAAAGTGTTCCACTGTATTCTGTCTTGGACTTCACACTTCCAGTTTAGTTTTTTTTCAGTATTCGTCTAATTCATCAATCCNTTTAAAATAGGCAATGTATCTTTGTTTGCTTCACTGGCGAATTCAATTAATACACTGATGACACAATGACATCGAACAGATGATCAAAAGTTTTTAAAACACGATTTTATTCCTTATTTTTATATAGCAGTCAGCTATATATATATATTCGCAGTTTACCATTTTACATAGGTAAAACTTTTGAACTGAAATGAAATGGGACAATGCAATTAACTGTTTATTGCCATTCCATATTTCTCTACACAGACGACCCCTGGCCTGACACAAATACTTAAAAGAAGTTAGATATCGCCCATCATTTAGGATACAAAAGTTAGAATCATTTTACATGTTTTCAAAATTTTCCAATTCTAAGACAATCATTGTGTTGGAAATCATTTCTAATTTAACTGTGTTGCAATAAAATGAATATTGCACTCTTTAAAAGTAACAATTGTTATAATTTTGGGTGGTGCAGTACGTGTACGTAGAAATTTGGATAAAATGTCTTGGCCTCTCAACTTCCTCAGGGCTATGTGAAAACAGAGGTTGTAATGAATAGATGGCATGCTTGCAATCACCCATGTTAATAGTCATCGTGAGAATTACAAGAGAATTGCAACAGCTTTGAATGGCACATTCTCTAGCCATGCTCCAATGCCGTGGTGTGTCACTGCAGGAAGAAAGGAGGTACATAAGGTTATTAAATGCAGGCTTTGATAAACAAGAGACTGCCAACACATCTCAATTAAAAAACACCCCTTTGGAATCTTTTGGAATTCTATCGGACGTCCTATAGAAGACTAAGATACACGTCTCATAGGACCTAATATTATTTTGGCCAATTTCCTACAGGTTTATAGTGAGGACTTGTTAGTCTGCTATTTAAAAACTGATTCACCATTTAACATCTTTCAGAATTGTTTTGGGATATTTAGTCATCATCATCATCATCATCATAATCATTCACCAAAAGTGTTCCACTGTATTCTGTCTTGGACTTCACACTTCCAGTTTAGTTTTTTTTTTCAGTATTCGTCTAATTCATCAATCCATCTCTTCGGAGGCTTCCCTTGTTTCCTATATCTATATCTTGGTGTCCATTCTGTCACCCTTATTTTTCATCCGTTATCTTTGATCTAGTGATATGTCCTGCCTGTCCCCATTTAATTTCTTTAACTGTAAGTAGTACATCCTTTGGTCTATTCTCTTATCCACTTGATGGTCATCCTACCTGTATAATCGCTGCGACCTTGCTGCTACCAGCTGATAAGCGATTGCTACAGTCCTGCAACCGGTTTTCAATCACCAAGTGGTTGCAGACAGGTTGTTAATTGCTCGGCAAACGTTGTGCTACTGGTTACCTAAAGCTTGAAGAAGATCTAAACGCAGTTGCAGATATCATACTGCAACCTTGTTGCAACCGGTTTGCGACTGCCTGCCGATCAAAACTGGCCAAAGCTTCTTAACTGGTTTGCAAAGTGATCGCAAGCGACCGCCAGATTTTGTGGTTGCAAAAAGGTTGCCAAAAGGTTGCAAGCGCAGTGTGACCAAGCCTTGAGAGAGAGAGAGAGAGAGAGAGAGAGAGAGAGAGATTATTAAGAAACAGTTTCAACCTATTCCGGCATTAATAATAGAAAAAGCGTATCAGGAAAAATATCTTTCCATTCTAACATTAAACTGATCGTGATGCAATGATCGTTTTGTCACTGTTTCTCAATAAACTGTTGAAATCTCTCCAAACAGTAAAATCCCATGAGCACGCCTACTTAACTCCTGACTAATTTGCATAGAGCTATACCGTTAACAGTAAACATACTAGTGTATGTTTATATTAAGATATTGTGATTGGATAGTTGTATTTGTGTCACGTCAGTCACCATGGAGACATTAACAGTAACAATATATACGTGGACGAAACCTGTTCCGGGACGTTTCATTGCTGGATCAGACTCCAGTCCGAACAGGTAAGGTTAGTTTTATCGGGATGAAGCATTCCTTTCATAAGCACAATGTCCAATTTACATTTACAATTAGGATCACATCATGAGCAGAAATATCATCCAGTTTTTCTGTGAACCTTAATACGTATGTGTGACTTTACTATTATCTACACTGTAGTTATTTTGTCCCGCTTTATTGTCAACTATACGGACTTAGGTGAGACAGTTGACCTATAGCATACACTGTAACAGGCCCTTACTTCGTGGCTCCCGTGC